GACCCTCCCTTAACAAAGCCATGATGACTTTTTGTTGTTAATCCCTGCCTCCCAAATGCAGATTAATTCTGTCCCTCAGAAATGCTTCCAGTAGATTCCCCAACACCGAGATCAGAATGACTGGCCTGTACCTTCCTGGTTTAATCCTTCCTCCTTCTGGAATAGTGGTACTGCATTGGTTATCCTCTCCTGCAGCCAGAAAGGAATTGAAAATTATTGCTAGTGCCCCTGCGATTTCCTCCCTTACCTCACTCAACAGCCTGGAATTCATTCCATCAAGCCCTAGAGATCTGTCAACTTTTAACTCTGCCAGACCAGTCAGAATCTCCGCTCTGTCCATGCTAATTTCTTTGACTGTATCATATTCTTTTCCCCAATTTCTATACCCAGATAGTCCCTCTCACTAATGAACACGAAAACAAAGTATTCATTTAGAATTCTACGTACATTCTCTGGCTTCATGCACAAATTACTACTGGGTCCTTAATGGGCCCTGGTCTTTCTCTAGTTATCCTATACTCTTAATATACTTGTAAAATAACTTAATATTTTCCTTTACTTTGCCTGCGTTATCCTTTCACACCTTTTTTGCTCTCCTAATTTTCTCTTTTAAGTTCCCCTTTACACATTCTATACATCTCTAGGGCTTCTGCTGGTTTGAGTCCTTCGTATCTGCCATAAGCCTGCTTTTTTCCTCTTCATACAATTGTGTATATCTCTCAATATCCAGGGCTCATTCCATTTGTTGGTTCCATCTTTTATCTTTATTGAAACATATTGAGTCTGTACTCTCTCTATTTCCTACTGCTCTGACACATTTAGCAAAACTATCTGCTCCCACTCCACTTTAGCCAAATCATATCTGATCTTATTTAAGTCACCTTTTCCCCAGTTTAGAACTTGATTACAGGCCCATCCTTGTCCTTTTCCATAGCAGTCCTGAATCTAATACAATCACTGTTTTCAAAATTGTCTCCTGAGATTTCTACTTTTTAAAAATTCTATCTTTGAATTCTTTTCCACCTTGCCAAATTAGTGAAATATCAATGACATCCTGGATGACTGAAACAAATATACGCTATTTTTCCTTTTTCACCTTGATCTGTTTGCAGTCTTTGAATAGTTGACCACAAAATTCTGCTCCTATGATTCTATTAACCATAGTCTGGATGAGTGAGACTGAACTTGCCTTGTTATTTCCAATGGCTCCTAAGGATCTGTCAGTGATCCTCACAGTTCTTATCAATGTCACCGATCAGTACTATCACCTGAATGCACAGCATTAGTTTTCATATTAACCCCGATAATACCCAACCCTACATAGCACTACCTTTCTCAACTTGTCCACTGGTACTAAATGATCAGAAAAATTCATTCAACATGCAATTCTGGATGAGCACAAATTTCTTTCAATGAAACATTCAGAAGATGCCATCCATTGGATCAGATCTTCTGGTGTCTGGATGGCAAATTGTTCAGGCCCACCTTCTATTGGAGGATCCTGCTGAACAAACCAATAGGAACAATCCTTGCAGAAACCAATAGGGAAAATGTTTTTGGAAGCCACACATACTTTTCAGGCAATTGCTGAAGTATTATGACTTCAGCTAAAATATAGCTGAAGTAAACATAGTTTAAGTGACAATGCCTTTTTGAGAATCTATAAAGAGAAGCTAAGTGAGGGGATAAACTGGCAGTTTGGGTGGGTGATTGGGTCAGGTGCCAGGTGGGTGAGGAGGTATATCAGTTCAAGAATAGTCTGATGCTAGTAACAAGTGTGAGAAGGTCCAGACAGCGGCAGTGTGGTAATGGGAGATGTTGCCAGGAACGTCTCCTCTAACTTGTGTAGCTGCGCAAGGATCCACACATGACAACTGGTGTTGGCATGCTGATCCTGGCGCTGACTTCCAATTGGAAACCACTGCCACGTGCGAATCTTAGACGCTCATGCAGCCCGTAAGAAAATTAGAAAGAATGCTGGTTGTCAGGGAATGTCGGAGGGATTAGTTGGGTTATGATGGTGTAAACAGGCCAGATCTGAGCGAAGGTGTGTATTGGGATTTCTTGGAACTTACAGTGCGGTGACTAGTCAAATTTATCAGGAAGTTTAAGCTTCTGATGGGCTAATTACCCAGCATTCAGAGCCCTTTGTGGAAGTCTCCATCTTTGACTTCAAACTTTGTACAGTTAAAAGTGTTCCAACTCACCTGGATAGTTGCAAAGTAATGTTAGGTCGACAAAAACCTTGTCTCATTTCTGGCTAACTGTACCTCCTACCTCCAACTCTCCACTGGAGCTCCTGACTTCCAACCTGAGTTGGAGTATCTTCTACAACCTGACCTGACTAACCCTCATCATCTCACTAAAAGCACCCTAACCCGACTATCGACCTAACCACAATGGCAGATTATGGACTGCAGCCAGCAGAACAACAGAGGAAGCAGCTGAACTTTTGTCCAGACAAAAACGGTCATTATCTTACGCCCTTCAGCCCAGACAAAACCCAGTATCTTTCCAGCACTGCCCTATTGGCTGTGAGTCATGGTTTGCTGGAGGAACTCCAGCAGCATTGCCCATCATCACAGACAGACAGGAGCAAATGCCAGTGAGTTCAACCGTGATCCACAGCTCACTGGCTAAAGAAGGGGTAAGGAGGTCAAGGTCAAGTTCAAGAGGTCAAGGCCGTATAATCACACTACTCCAAAGCAGTAGCCTGATGAGAGACCAGAGTCAGTAACAGAAAGCAAGAACGCGCGCCATGGGGCCTCTCAAAATGCCAACAGCAGTCGAGAACAAGTGATGACCTCAGCAGGTGGCCCAGGTCCCAATGAGTATAGGTCTGCTAGTGCAAACCTCAAGCAGAGACCCTTTTGGCTCCACTTTTTGGGGTGCTGCCATTGAAAACATGATAAGTGGAATGTTAAATTCAAAAATATAAAACAAGATGTACCTTATTTTACCATTTATTTATTTAACAATGAAGAAATTATGCATTTCATTGTGTTGCAACTTAGATGGTACTAGTATAATATTTCAATTTTTTTTCACTGAGGAAGACTTTGCAGATCCTAACTCCAGTTTTAACATTGATTCCTAAATAAAAAGTCTTTTCACATAAAGTTGTGATTTTCTGGAATGCAAGCTCAATTTAAGTGAGGTGATCCTTTCTGTGACCTTTTGTCTGATCTGGTATAGAAATAGGGATCCTGACCAAATCAAAAAATTTGGGCCATTACCTTTGGTCCCTCCCATTTAGGCCTGACTCCATCTGCTTCACTGGCATCTGTAAAAGGCTGTTTGTTACCTTCGTGTCATATCTGGTTTGGACATGAACATTGGCCAGATATCCACTCCATCATTACGACTGCCTATGCAGTTGTACCTGACAGTGTCCTGTTCCACTTCATCTACTGCTGAAAACTATTATGGTTTTATACCCAAATTCATAAGTTTAGGTTCAAGACAGAGTTGTTGAGGAGAAGGCAAGTTAAGAACTATTTTCAGGCTTGTCTATCTTTATAACAGTACATATTAGCTGCTCTATGCACTGCCTTATTTAATGTATGCACACATAAATGATTTTGGGGAGATGCAGTTCAGGTGTTAGGATGGGATATGATTTAGGAGCAGTGGGAGCGCTGGGTGTGCTGGGTGGGAACAGGGCCTCCCGTTCCCACATCCCCAATCCTCCCCATCCCAATTCCTCAGCCCCTCAACCCCCACCACTGCATCCTCACTCCTCCACACCAAATCCCATTCCAAAATTGCACACACATCTTCTGTGTGTGCACAGCGCAACCTGTGCATACGATGTCATATTAAATTTTACATGATGGCATACTGGGTGTAGAATTGTGAATTTACAATTGAGCAGTTGCAGATGTCATCAGACATTGTCCTATATATGACATGTTAAGACTAATACTACAATATATGATAATCAGAGATACAACAGGCTGAAATTTTATTGGTACATTATTAAAAGAGTATTCCACAAAGTTTTACTGACTAATGCAAGTCAGTCTACCTTACCATTTCTTCCTCAACTCTGCCCACCCTATTCTATTTATGCCCATTGAGAAGCAACTCAGTGATAGCATTACATGGTTCCTCCCCAGTTCAAAATACTTTGCACAACAAAACTTTCAGCATCTGCAGTCCTTATTATCTCCAAAACCTTCATCTATACCTTCATTTCCTCTAGACTCTACATTCAGGCTGGTTTCCCATTTCTACTTTCCCCTAAACTTAAGATCATCCAAACTCTGCCCTCTTAGCTCACAGCAAGACCCTATTTGCCCACTTCCTGCGTGCTCTTTCAACAAGCACTGCAGATGTTGGAACGCGGAGTCTATACGCGTGAGGCTGGACAAGCACAACTGGTCAGGCAGCACCAGAGTAACAGGAAAGTCAATGTTTCGGGCTGAAATCCCCAGTCCTGAGGAAGGATTTGGGCCTGAATCGTTGACTTTTCTGCTCCTCTGATGCTGCCTGACCTGCTGTGCTTTTCCGTCATTAAGTCTAATGCCTCCTTATGTGGCTTGTTGTTCAAAGTAGTTTCAAAACCCTCCGGCGCTGGTCCAAAGCAGGCTTTTTTTGCACCACATTGCAAGCACAATGATCAGAAATGCACCCTGTCGTTATTCCCTTCTCTGGAGAACTTGCCTCTACCGCCCGTACAGGTGGTGAGTCCCAGATACCTGCCACCCTCTGGGTAATAAAGTTTTCCTCACATCTCTGTAAACCTTTGGCCCCTTACCTTACATCTATTCCCGATGGTCATTTATCCATGCATCGAGGGGAAACGTTTCTTTCTTCTACCCTACCTATGACACTTACAATTTTAAACATTTCAAGCTGACTCAAGACCGACGGACTCTCTTTAAGCTACATACTTCTTTCCCTTATTCTTAAGTTATTCAAAATGGCGCCTAATCGTGGAGACAAATGAAAGCTTTTCACACACGTGACAGTAAGATTCTGCATCATTCCCGTTCCCGTGTTCGGAGCTGATCGTTGAGAGTGCACGCCAAGGCCGAGCATGCGCTTTGACGTCGGAACGCTGGTGACCGTCGCGAGCCTAAGCTCGAACCGCAGCCGTTATGTCCGGGAAGGAGGATAGTGATATGGCCACGAAGAGCATGTGTGAGTAAATACAACAGCAACAAAAAGAAAAGAGCCGCGATCCTGGCTACCTCGCAGTCCTGGCTACATGTATATTCCGGCCTAATAATCCGTGTTGGTGCTCATTAAAGAGTAGCATTGTGTGGGCCCTAGGCCGGGCCGTGCTTGAAACGGGCTCCTCCTGCGACGTGGAAAATCATACATAACTCCTTCGGCTGACGGGCGTTTGTTATGATTTTGCATCAATTGCTTGTTGCGCAAAAACATACAAACGGACAGGCAATGTTCAGCAGCTCCGCAACATCTGGGAAAAGAGTAACAGAGTTAACGTTTGACCAGTTGTAGGGTTATGGGACTAAGGGCACTAGAAAAATGCACCATAAATTGCGAAAATTGTGCAGCGTCCCTGTCGTACATTCATGTAACACTGAGCGCGGTCAGTTGACCTTTCTGCCAGTATTGGTAACTTGAAAAGCTGCATTTCTTTGTTTTTATCTGAGCATATACGTGATTCTCTTTTTAAAGTTGTTTCTATTACCCTTTCAGTTAGTGGATTCCAGATTAGTTTTAGTAAAGTTTTTAGTATATTTTATTCTTCAATACATTGTTAGTATTCCGCAGCCATGTTCTGTGCATTTTGTTATGTATGCGTTTGAATTGTTTGATAGAGACGGGTTAATTGAATGGGCTTGGAATGTTCTTGGGCTCAGGGTACCAAAATTTGTTGATTAGGCTCTGTTCAGAACTCATGAAATGGTGAATCTAATGAGTTTAGTGATCTGCAAATCAGCCTTGTCTTCCTGTCTGTACTGATGCTGCATGACTTGTTCAGTATTTCCACCATTTTTGATTTTATTTTAGATTTTGAGCAACTGCATTTTTTTCTGGGTGCAAAGTTTTTTTTGCCCTAGAATTCTGGTAATGACCAATGAATAATTGCAAATGTAACTGGGGCATCGAATTTGTGAACTTAATGAGGAATGTCCTCAGTCCTGTGATTGATGTTACTAATTGCACATTTCTGCCTTTAATTGGCAGTGATGTATGAAAATCACAGTTTCATCCCTGTGTTGAAGCTATCAACCAGTAATGATACAGTATTGTATCTGGCCTGATTTATCCACAAAATGAGATATGAACAAAATTGAAAAATTTAATTTGTGTTCATCGTTGAGTGGCTCAGTTTTAAACCATTATCATTAAGAGCTCAGGAAAATATAATGGTGGACTGGAAATAGTGAGTCCACATGAAAAGATTACAGAACTAGAAGATATGTGTTTAAGATGAGAAGGGAAAGATTTAAACTGGACCTAAGGGACAACTTTTTCACATGCAAAGTGGTGTGTGTATGGATTTTGCTGCCAGAGGAGGTGGTGGAGGCTGCTACAATTACAACATTTAGAAGGTATCTGACTATGAATAGAAAGGGTTTAGAGGGAAATGGGCCAAATATTGGCAAATGGGCTCGATTAATTTAGGATTTCTGCTCAGCATAGATGAGTCGGACTGAAGGGTTTGTTTCCATGCTGTACATCTCTATGACTTTATAACTGGTTTACGTCTAGATTTTGTTTTTCTAAATGAGACTTATTCAAGATCAATTTTATTCAGTGTTGCAATGTACGTCATTATATTTCGTGTTAGCAAACTGTGTGCTTAGTTTGTTGCAACCTAAAACACACTGGCAATGCATAAGTTAGCAACTACAATGAGAAGAGCTATGTTACACTGGATGCATTCTAGACAGGTCTTTCAAGCTAAATTGACAGGATAATGAAAGATGGATAATTTTAACATGAATGCATTTCTTAATATCCCAACCCTTACGGGCTCGTTTCCCGCAAGTACGAGGAGTTCATGGAATTCTTTGTCACTAAAACTGAGGTAATTCAATCAGCTACATTTGCTGCAACTCTCCTTTACAAGTGATCACATGACCAAGCCTCCTTCCCTGCGTCGAAACCTGAAGTAACATTTTCCACTGGTCGTCTTCACTGCCTTTCCTCATGCCCTCTTCAAGCTCATCTTGTTATCAGACTTTCCTTTAGATCTCCTTGGTCCTATTCCAGCTGCTGATAACCTACTTCCCATGCTGGCCACCATTTTACCCACTATTGTAAATAGTTATTTCTCTCCAGGTGTTGCCCTTCTTTCCTTTAAATCTTCAGCCATCACTCTTGCTCGGAAAAGATTTGCTCTATTGTCCTATCTCCAACCTCCTAATTTTCTCAAGTCTTTGAATATATTGCCTTCTAAATACATTTCCATTTTTCCCAAAACATCATATTTTATCCCTTCAATCAAGTTTCAGTTCAGCTATAGTACAGACTCAGTTTATATCAAATTCACAAATGACATCCCACGTGATTGTGACACTGGCAAACTTTCCCTCTTGGTCTTTCTGAACCTTTCTGCAGTCATTCACACAGTTCACCACACCATTGTCTTCCAACACTTCAGCGTTGTTCAGTGACTGCTCTTACCTAGTTATGATTTCAGCTGATGGTGACATTGAGCAAGTCAGATTTCTGAATAAAACCTGACTTAATAGTCCATATGTTTAATTTTTGCATTTGCTACCACAGTGATTTTTCACAAAAATTCAAACAAAACTTCTTTAACAACTGAACATATATTTATTAGATGAGAAATGAAAAACAAAATGCTATATACATATATACTACAGCTAGTCTGTAAAACTAACAGCAAAACAGTGTCAAACTGATTCTCAACATTATCCTTTTACAGTTATTTAATTCCAGAGTGCTGTCCCTTTTGGTTTTTTTTAATTCTTTACTTAATTGATGCTTTCAAGTTTCCTTATCCTTGGACTACTGATACATTTTTTTTAAATGATTCCTCTGAGTCTACTGCTACGAAACTGTTGTCCAGATATTCAGGGATGAGGGCCAGACTAGGGAAATGGTGTCTGCTGTGGACCTGTTACATTGATAGGCAAATTGCATGGAATCCAGACAGGCTGGGAGGCAAAAGTTTATGTGGGTCATGATCGGCTTCTCAAAGCACTTCATTATCATGGAGGTCAGAGCCTCTGGGTGGTAGTCGTTACGGCACGTTGTATGTACTTTCTTGGGTACTGGGATGATGGTGGTCTTGAAGCAGGTGGGGACTTTGGCTTGTAGGAGGGAGAGGTTGAAGACATCAGCGAATACCTCTGCAGGTGGTCTGCACAGGATCTAAGCGCAAGGTCAGGGGCTCCGTCTGGGCCCGTCTCTTTCCTTAGATTGACTCTCAGGAAGATCGATCTGACGTCTGCAGTGGTGATGGAGGGAACAGGTGCATCTGGGGCTGTCGGGGCAGGTGACTCTGCACTCCTGGCATTCTGCTCGAACCGAACATGGGTAGCATTGAGCGCATCAGGGAGGGAGGGAGCAAGCTGCTCCCACAAGTGACTTTCTACCATTGCTGTTTCTTCTCTTGATTCAAGCTCATCATGCATTTATTTTCTGAACAAAGGTCATCTTTCACAATTGCACTAACATGTATCAATTAACAGACCTCCATGCCATCTCTCTTAACCTTTCCGTTCTTCTGTGGTGTTATGCAGCCTCGAATATTTAGATCCCAGCCTTGGTAAACTTGCACCCAGGTTGGTGAAAAGGCTGTCAGGTCATACATGTTGATTGGATTTGTGCTGTGACTTAGTTTGTTTTGTTAGGAATGCCGTAACACCTTTAGTTATGACTCTTGCATACGCTGGCTTTATCCGCTGATGCTCTTATGTTTAGATGCTCTTATGTTTATATGCTCAGTCCATTCTTTGCATACTTACCATTATCCATATTGTTATTGTATCGCCTTGCCTTTCTCTCACTTTTACCTCGTCTCTCCTCATAGGATCCTTTACCCTCACTATTTATTTAAAAACCCCCTCTACCAGCCTAGTTTTACATTTTGCCAGAGTAGCACTCTGAACATGGTTCAGGTGATTGTTCCAGTGGTACAACCTTCGTTTTCCTCCGTTATGAGCATTGGGCCAGTAAACAAAACTCATTTCTCATACACAAATCATTGAGCCACTCATTCAACTGTGTTTACCCTATGTCATGTTGCTCATGGCACAAATAATAGTTTGGAGATTATTTTTGTTCCTGCCTGCTCATAACCCCTTATGTGGGCCACTTCCCTAGTTCCATCTGTGTCAGTGGTATCTAGATGGACCATGATAATTGCAAGCTCCACCTGCAGTTGCAAGGGGACTTGGTGAGACTGTACCTAAAGTACTATGTGCAGTCTCCTTATCTGAGGGAGGATGTACTGACTATGGAGGAAGTGCAATGAAGATTTCTCAGACTGATTCTTGGCATGACGACTGAATTATGAAGAGAGACTGCATTGGTTAGGACAATAGTCAGTATTGGATTTTACAGAATTTTATAAGTTTCAATGAAATTCTTAACAGGACGAGAAGTTCTGAGGAAGGGTCACCAGACCCGAAATGTTAATTCTGATCTTTTCTTCACAGATGCTGCCAGACTTGCTGATCTATTCCAGCAACTTCTGTTTTTGTTCCTGATTTTATAGCATGTGCAGTTCTTTTGGCTTTTGTATAAGGATGTGAGCAGGCTATTTAAGACTAAGTTGAGGAGAAATTTCTTTACCCAGAGAGTGGTGAGCCTGTGGAATTCTCCCACTACAGAAAGTGGTTGAGGCCAAAGCATTGAATATTTTCAGCAGGAATTGGATACAATTCTTGAGGCTAATGAGATAAAAGGGTATGGGGAGAAAGTGGGAACAGGGTACTGACTTGGATGATTGGTCATGATTATATTGAATGATGGAGCAGGCTTAAACGGTATTGGGCAAGCGCTTCTGGACTCATTCTTGACTGCAACGAACTGTATCCATCCTCCTGACAATATGGTCCCCTACTACTACCACCGCTAGTCCATTTATGCCCTCTTAAAAGGCTCTTTGCATGGTAGTGCTGTGATCAGTTTATTATCCAACCTTCAGGCCTTGCTTTTTCCATATAAACTGCAATAATCTGGAATTTTTG